TTTTTTTTTCATGAGATTTACATTTCAATGTTTGCAACTTCCTCCGGCATCACACGTCTTCATATTTCTACTGACATTATGAACCGCATGATGTTCCAGGGGAAAACATACAAAAGAAAGTTATTTCGGCATGCATGAACTTTAAATGCTTTTTACTTAAAGATAAATTATTCATAATATCCATCTTTGATAAAAAATACTCTGTATTTTGTTTTGCTAATATCGAAGCATAACACAAGTTCATGTATAATGTACAGTAGGAAACGGCTTTTTTGCTTTTACAGTACGGCTTTTTTGCTTTTCGCCGAATTTTACCAGGAGCGCTAGGGGCAGCATGGCTCCACATATAGGTAATCTTCGATGTATCACAGTGTTTAGCAGCCGAGGTGAAACGGCTTATTATGTTTGCCTCCTCTTATGCTAGCTTCCAAATCTTAAGTTTGATTATGAAGTAAGTCTAACTCTCTTTCGAAAGCAGCAAAGCAAAAAGGCTTCCCTTAAACGTCCTTATTCTCCGTTTCACGTTGTATCGTTGTCTACTGTTCTACTGGTAGTGCTATATGTAAGGTTTCCTCAAGTTTATTTTTTCACATGCTCTAAGTTTAGTGGGCGGGCTCGTTTCTTATGACGGGTTACCTCCTTCACTCTCATGCTTATTCTAAAAGAGTGTATCGTGTAAGAAGCTAGAAAAGGTACTGGTGCAAATTTATACGAAGTATCGTGCCCTTTTGGTGTTTCCTCAGACCATGTAGAGTGAAGAAGGTACTCCCCGGATGCACACTTCAGTTCTTCTTTTCCATAATTTGCTCTCTTCCATTATTCACATCTGCGACCACATCTTCACAGCAGGCATGTACCTCAAGTAAGTGAGCATACAAATGCTTGTGAAGATAGGAATCTAATCCGTCTTTTTATCATCTTATCTGGAACCAAACTACGATAAAACGATCGCATCCGTAGCAACAAGCACGTGAACACGTTTTGCAGCGAACCAACGAGAGGCTTATAATAGATGATATCTGGAAATATTCAAAATATTGGCATAGGTTCATGCGCTGACAAAATATGAAGATATAGCATTAGACTTAGAGCATGTGAAAAAAAAACTTGCTTGAGAGAGGAAAACACCTTACATATAGCACTACCAGTAAAATAGTAGACAACATTGCAATGTTAAACGAAGAATAAGAACTTCTAAAGAAAAAACCGGATAATCCGATGTTTTGGTACAAATACTAGGAGAGCTTCGGAAATCAATGCGTCTGCAGATAGATCTAAGTAAAATTTCTGCGATTAACGGCCTGAATAGCCTGCTTTCCAGCGAAAGACACGACGCGAAGCCGGCGCATTGCGATCCGGCCGGTGGCTGGACTGCCATGAGGGGCAGGCGTTATGGAGCAAAGGCTCGCCGCAATCCCCTGCGGCATATCCTGAAGGCCTTACGTGCTGCGTCGCTGTTGATTGCGCTGAGCTGCCATTATCGGCGCTGCGCTGAGCTTTAATCAGTTGCGATTTGAAGTGTGGGGGAGAGCACACACCATTTCAAACATGAAGTCTCATGAAATCAAATTCGATAGCTTCAACATGTCATTCACACTAATTTCAATAACAACTCCAATAACAATTGCAATAATAATTCAGTAATTGATATTTCAGGAAGATATCCATATACACATCGGA